AAGGAACTGGCATCTAAGTATAATGTGACTTCAGCCACTGGTAACCTTCAGAAGCATTTGCATTAAGGAGAATAGGAATACAGAGGTACCTGGGTACTCGTCATCTTTAATTGGTTTGAGGAAGCATGATGAGCACAAAAATGACAGTACCATACCAATTGTCTTAGGCAGAAGAGTTAGCAACTCATAAGGCAAACCACCAACAAGTTGTAGCTTGCACATTTAGTATCAAACAAGAAGTACTGGGACAAAGTTTTCATGTCAAAAGGCTTTAAATACCAAATTTGATAAGTACCTAGAATCAAAGTAGGACTGTAGCAGTGATCCAAGTGGGCATGGATCTGTTACTTTCCCCTTCCAACTCATATCCCAGGCAAAGTCTGAAGAGATTTTTGGTTATCACAGCAATGACTTAGGGGACTCCTGGCCTCTACTGGGTAGACATAAGAGATGCTGTTAAATATACTACCATGGATTCTAGGGAAAGATGTCAGATAGAAAACAGCAGGCTACAGAGGCTCCTGAGATAGTCAATTTGGATTTCAAAACAACATAGCCTGGGGAGTCCTGAACAGAGGGAGATGAATATTCTCAATCCAGGAAGAAACTAAGATGGGAAGAACCAATCAAACATACAGTCTGGTGCTACTATTGGGAACAGCTAAAAGCTTGGTGCCCCTGCTACAGCGCCTTTACTCCTGTGGCTGAACTTACAGAGCTACCTGAAATTCCGCCACTTCAAACCACTGGAAATGCAGTCACATGGAGGTTGGGGGTTGGTGAGGCGAACAGAGAGCTGAGCTGGCGAAGAACCTGCATAGACCTGCAGTGAGTGACGGGAATGAAACCATTCCATAGAAAAAGGAGCTCCAACAGACACATTCTGGGATTGGGAAGACTGGCAAGAACAAGGAGCAGCAGTGACTTCAGTCAGTTGCTCCCTTCTCAAACGGGATTGGTGGGGAGCACTTGGCCTGGGTCACACCCCTGGCTGAGATCCAATAGGTTATCCCAAACCAATTCCCTATGTCCAGTGGTGTACACTAAGCAGTGAAGGCCTCAGCAGGTTGACTGACCAGGAGGGGAAGGGCCAGCATATGCTTGTCCCTGTTTGCACCTCAATAGCGCTCTGCAGTGGGCAGAACCATCTAGCCAGCATGCTTCAGAAGAAGAATCATAGCCAACAAAGAAAGAAACTTGGGCCTTCTATATATACACTGTATGGAAAAAACAAAAAATATGAGAAAAAGAAGCAACAAGAAAAAGTCCCCAGCCCCCAACCCTGAAAACAGTGATCCAGGAAAGGTAAATACAAAGGAGTTTGAGGACAGCAAACATACAATATCAGGCATGGCACCAGTGGACATAAAGAGATATATTCGGGGGCCTCATAGATGAGTTCAAAAGTGAAATATTTAACCAAGTAAAGTAAGATATAAAAAAAACCAATAAAAGAAATGCTAAGCACCTCTCAAGAAGACACAGATGGAAGAATGGAGGAACACAACAAAAGGGGAGAATTGTTTGATGAAGAATATAAAGAAAACATAGAGTATATGAAGCAGGTTCAAAGAGATTATCAGGAAATTAAAAAACTCCATTGTAAGCTGGCAAAACTGCTTGAAAGAAACTAAGGATAGATTATCCAAACTGGAGGACAGGTTTGCAATGTGGGATCATGAAAGGAAAAATTTCTTAAAAATAACAAGAAAACAAGCAGAAACAATACAAAGGCTAGAAGACAATAAGAGTATCTACAACTTAAGAATAAAGAATGTGAATGAAAAAGCAGGGGTACAAACAAATGAACTACAAAGGCTATTCACAGAAATAATTAAGGAAAACTTCCCAAATATAGGAAAAGGAGATGATATTCAGATGTATGATGCATACAGAACCTACAACCAAAACAGATCTACACCAAGGTATATAATAATCAAGATCCCAGAAATTCAATATAAAAACAATATTAAAAGCTGCCAGAGACAAGAAACAGATTACTTACAAGGGAAAGACCATCATTATTATGGCAGATTTCTTGACACAAACCATCAAGTCAAAATGAGCCTGGAGTGAAGTATTCCAAGCCTTAAAAGAAAATAACCTCCAGCCCAGATTGATCAACTATCTCTAGAAATTAATGGAGAAACAAGATGCTCCAAGACAAAGAGGAACTGGGGAAATTCACGACCACCGATCCAACTCTACAGAGAATACTGCAGGACATTCTAAGGAGAGAGAAAAGCACAAGGATTCCAGGAACAGTGGCAGAGAGGCCTCAATGAATGGAGCAGAAAGCGAAATGAAGAAGACAAACAGACAGCTAATGACAGAAAAAGAGCACAACAGAAATGAGGCAGAGAAGATCTGCTATAATCTGTAATATAGATGGCCTTGATATACTAAATTAAAAAAAGAGAGAAAATTACAGGCAGAGTAGATCAGGAGGTAGGGTCCACTGAGATGCTCTTTATAGGAAATATAATTAACCTGAAAAAGGGTTTATGGACCAAAAGTCAAATATGAGAAAACAATGCTCTATGTGACAGGGAACCAGAGTATAGGGGCAACTAGACTAATAATTGAGAATAGGTTGGAAAGACAGGCTTTAATAGGTAAAGGAATATAACTAGAGATCAAGTCCAGGAGGGAGAAGATTCGGAACCACTTAGGTAAATAGCAGGTTGCTCCCACAATTTAAAACTGAGACTGTTGGTGAGACTCAAAAATGCAACGTATTCCCTGGGGGAGTGAAAGGGGAAGAATAGTCTTAAAAAAGACAGCAGAAAAAAAAAAAGACAGCAGAAGATATTATTAATAGTGTATCAGGAATCAAAACCCATATTACTTGCACTGCTCTGCTTAGATAGAACTTATTCTGTCCCAGTTTGTCTACAAGCACTAGATCTGAGGGCACAGACAGCCATCCCAAAGACATCAGAACATAGCACAGTAATCATCTTTAATTTCCTATTAACTTAATCTGGAGCCCTGTATAACTTATACTGTTATATCATGGCTGATCTTAGTTAAATCTGGTTCATTTGACTGCTGTTTGTTATTGACAGATTTTATTCAAAACTGTTATAATTGATAGTATCAAGTCTGAGAGTATAGACAACTATACTGAAAATGACAAGATTCACTACAACATCCATTCTGGTTTGATTACTACCTGTTTTTGCAGTTTAACACTATCTACAAAGTTGTGTTTCTATCAATACTGTTATATACTGATATATTCAACTGTACTATATCTGATGATATAGCCAATTTTGTTGAAGATAACGAGATAACACAGTAACCATGGTAGAACTCCTTGTACAGCGGTTTTACATGTCTTTTTCATATTATGTATTTATAGGAAGATGTTTTGTTCTGTCCTTCTTTGTTTTGTTTCCCCCTCTAACATAGAAAGGGTAGAAATACGTGTTAAGACTCACGCATGCGTAGAACCTAAGAACAGTTTACGAGGACTGATCTTACAACACATGATGAAATGAACAAATACTTTGAAGGGAGAAAGACACTACAGTACTCAGTGTTGATCCTGGAGTGTCACGATGTGAAATCCAGCAATACTATTATTCTTTGTCCAGAGTGATTTTAGTCTGCTTTGGTTTGTTTAATCTCAATATAAATGAAGATATGGATAACTGCATATATGTTTAACTGTATAGGATAGATAACCATATTACTAAGTTTTTGTTGGATCGTTGAATAGAACTATTTGCAATCTTGCTGTTTGAATTCCCACTTACATGTTCCACTTTTGTATCTTGAACAATAATTTGTCAGAGGACAATATGTAAACATCAACTAGTGATTTATTACTGTTTATTTTTTCTTTGAAAGTATGTATTATATCTACCCATTTACTGTTTTGTTTAGTATTTCTTTAAATAAAAAAATATATACTATCATGCACTAAGAATTATAAGCACAACCAGCAATTATCTGGCCCAGAACGTCAAGGGTGCACTATCAAGAAATCCTGGAAAAGATACTAGATGCCACCAGAGACCTGAGGCCAAATCCACAGATGTCTTTGGGCTCCCTGAAGGCACAGTATTAATTCAGGACTTTGATGTGGGGCTAGACTTTTCTTAGCTTCCAATTGTCATTATTTATCTAGAAAGAAGATGTGGATCAACCCAGGTACCTGCAGAGAAAGGCTTATAGGTGGATCACGCAGTCAGCCAGCCTCTTGTTCCAGCTGGGATTAAAGGACTGATGTTGAATAAATACTGAGACCCAGCTTAAGCCCTGACTTCTTCAGAAATTGGTCACTGCTTTAACAGCAACATATGGATGAACAAATGTTCAGTTCTGGGCTGCCTGATTAGATTTATTCCATACAGATTCCCCAGGTGGTCTCCTGTCTTTTATTGAAGGATTCAAAACCAGACCATTTAGTTGATAAAATTGAATCTCCTCGAGTTAATGGAGCAGAACCAGGTACCGGTATATACTGTAGCACACATTCTTGTGGAAGTCACGCTGGTGGGACCAAATATTTTCTTTACAGTTGATTTCGATGCAGTTCAGCAGTTGATGGTGTGTGGAGGCAGAAGACCTCCTGAGGATCCAGTCCCCTCCTGTTTACATGGCTGGTGCCTCAAAGGGCACACATAATTTCTTTTCTCCATAAAGTGAACCTGGGCATTTAACAGCTAAAAAGGGAGTGATTCCATTTGAATTAATCGAGAAGCTGGAGGCAATGGTGCATGATGGAGCTTTTAGGGACATTCTTCCCTGACTGACAAGGTCCCGTGGCCACCCCCTGAAAAGCTTTAGTGACAGGACATATCTTGACATCACTCAAGGGAAGCCTATTATCTTAGCAACACACAGAGAGACTGTTTTTTTAAATGCTCAGTTTAATGAGCAGCTATGTTAAGTCTTAAAGTTGAACACACTTGTTACCTATAACCCTGTAACATTGCTTTTCCCTTGTAAAATAAGAAGAAAACAGTAATATTATCCAGGGCAAAACATACCTTTCAGCCACTTTGGACATTTTCAAACAGTGTCTGTCAATCTGTGCATTCAAAAATGTTATCTGGGGAAAGAAAGAACAAGACTGTAGAGAATACAATAGAATTCTTTATTTCCCCTTAAGCCTAGGAACACAAATCCTATATTCCTACCAAAGTCCCCAAACTGCCTATAGCAAGGCTTCTCCTAGCCGCAGGATTTGTGCCCTAGTAATCACTTTGCCCCTTTAGAATTATGTACCACACTTAAGATGCATACTCTACAATTCAGCCTGTGCAACCTGTTATGTCTGTCTGCACTTTTTCTAAGTGAAGTCTTGATTCCCAAAAGTCATTCCCTAAACTTAAATGCAGCATATATTCTACAAAGCTTAGCAACAGCATGGACAGCTAATGCATGTACCATAAAAAACTGTTTTGATAAAAGCCCCAGTGACCATTCCCCCACCCACCTTTCACGAGTATATCACACACACTTGGCATGTTCCACTAGAATCATCAAATAGTTATTTCATATATCTGTTTCCTAACTCCTATTTAGTAATAAACTTGTCAAGAGAAGACACCTAAAAGTTTCTTCCTTTGTCCATCTCCCATTAGAGGCCAGTAAAACATAATAAAGAATTGGCCCTAAAGTTGCCTTAGTGCTAATGAATAGCAGGAGCAGCAATGTAATTATTGTTTGTTGGGCTCCTCAACATGAAAGAAAATTATATTTTACCATATAATGCATTAGGATGGGGTTTTCTTTATTTAAACTTTCCTTTTTTTTTTTTTTTGTTTTTGAGAAAGGGTCTCACTATATAGTGCCTTGATCATGTCTAGGCCTCCCAGTTCTGATACTAGGATTACAGGGATAAGCCACACTGCTGGTCCTTATGCTTTCCTTTGGAATAGCAGGAATAGGGTGGTGCGGAGCTGGTGAATTCTGGAAGTGTGTTACAATTTGAATGACCATCACGGAGGTGTGCTTCTCAGTCTCCAGCTCCCACAGAAGTCAGAGGAAGCTCATTTATACCCCTCTTCATAACTGCTGGTGGAGAATTTTTCCTCTCACACTTCCACAGGTTGTTCACACACAGCATTCAAAAGTTCAAGTTGCCTACAGTGGGGTGAACTCTTAAGTTCACTCAGTCTTCAGAGGTGAACATTAAAGCTGGAAACCAGCTCATCTCCTGGAGTGAAGCAGTCATGGTGGTCACCTGTTTGCGGATGTCCTCTTTTGTAGTTTTCCTGATGGGCTGGCTGGGTATGTGCACAGGGCTCTGCGACTGGGACTCTTCAGTTACACCGTACACTGACTAGAAGAACAAGCAAGAGTATAAACTATGTACCCTCAGAGTGGCACCATGACTTAGAGGGCAACTAGTCCTATCTCTCAGCTGATTCTTTGAATCTCATCTGTGACGGCCAGGATATGAGTGATTGGCCTTGGGTTTATTATTAGTACATGCTTGCAGTACATAATGCTTACATTCTTTGTGTAGAGTTGGCACATATACTTAACACATCTTAATGTCTTTTTCCCCCCTTTCCCCCCTACTCTCCCTCTATCTCTTGATTCCCTTGCTATTTGGGAAAAATCTATCTCCTTACTTCCTAGTATGTGTCTTTTATCTTATTCTTTATTTATAAGTTGGGCTTTTCATATAAGAGAAGCCATGCACTATTTAAACTTATGTGTCTGGGATTTATTTCAGTTAATATGATGGTCTCAAGGTACACCTATGACTCAAATTTATCCTTCTTTATAGAAGAGTAGTATTTCATTGTGCATAAATACTATGGATGGTCATGTAGGCTACTTCCAAGATTTTGCTATTATAAAATTTGAAATTATGCAAGTTGAGGCATCTTATCCCATGTTTAGGTTACAACTGTTAGAAAAAAATCCTCCCTTTTATTGAGAGGAAACTGTCTTCTTGTATATCATTGCTTCTCCAAATATAGTCCACTGGCCATGTGCAAGAATCATCGAGAGTCCTTGGTAATGTGTGTATCACTGAGCCCTGCCCTCGATCCATAGAATCAAAAACTTTGGGGGGTGGGTTTGAGATCCTGCACTTTTATCAAATGTCCCAGGTGATTCTTCCCCAAAAGATGTTCAAGGACTTCAGATGCTAATTATGTATAAAAGATCTTTTTAGATATTCTGCTGGTCAGCAAATGACAGGCCCATCTGGTACACAATTGGAACATCAGGGCTTTGGGTTTTCCTTTTTAAGTTAAACGGGTTTCTGGACTCAGCTATGGCTCCTTTTTCAGCTGTTCCTAGTGTTAGGAGCAGACTAAAGACAATCTTTGCTTTGGGAAAGAAACAAAGCCCTTAAGGCCATGAAGTGTGCGGGTGAAATCAATGCAATCAAGGTGGGCTCAAGGTACACATGTTCCCATCAAATTCTGGGCTTAGGGGTCCATAAAGATTAGCTGAGGACATTCAAGACTAGTAAGGTAAGATACAGCCCAGGGGCATCTTACATTAGTGATGAACAAAATACATAAATAGATTCAAGAAATGTCTTTCTGTCTCTCTTTTCCCCACATCCTCCAGCTTATGTGCATATTTATAAGTCATTATAATTTGAAGACCTGAAGTTGAAAATCTCCAAACTCTGAACCTTTTTTTTGTACCAGAGATCGAACTCATGTTCTTGCACTTGCCAGGCAGGTGCTTGTGCTGCTGAACTAAATCTCAATCCCCTCTTTTGAAGCCCACAAATGGAAAATTTCACACTTGATTAACCTCCTGGGCAGATTGTAGTCAAAACACAGGCTCACTAAAAAAAAATTGTATAGAATTACTTTCAGGCTATGTGTATATGTATATATAAACCATAAACAAATTTTGCATTCAGACCATTTAGATTGGTCCCATTCCAAAGATAATCTGAAACATTTCTAGGCCCAGGCATTTGAGATAAAGTACACTCAACCTCTTCTCTCTTGCTTACTTGTTCACTTGAAAAGGTGAGAGAGAACTGATTATTAGAGGATGTGAGGATGCTTGGGGACACACTTCTTTTGGAACCAACATGGATTATAGCCACATCCTCTCGAAGCATGGTATGGTTCTTGCTAAGGTGCCAGGGTGGAGGTACGGGTAGTGGGGCAGTGTGAGTATGGTACCCACAGGTATGCTGTGGACACTAGCTTTCTCAGTAAAGGTGATGTAAATGATTATTGGGTCATTCATAGTTGGGCAAGATGTTGATCTAAGTTCAAGCAATCTAGCTCTACTTAAAATCTTTGATTTGCTTCTAAGTTCCCAGCTTGCTGTCAGCAAGCTTCCCAGTTTTTATTCCTTTAGTTTCCTCTTCTCACAGCTACCTCCCTAGAGCCAGCTGTTACTACCCTTTATTTTACTTGATCTGCTTTCAGGAAGCCCCTGGGAAGCCCCATCTGGCTTGTCCGCCCCTCCTGGGGGCTCTGGGAACATCTGTGTTTCCCCAAGGTAGCACCTGTGGCCTTGTTTCCTGTTGGTTGGCTTCATCACCTGCCAGACCATGGGCTCTGTTAGGACCTGGCAGCGAGTCCTAGGAGCAGTCACAACACCTAGCGCACACTAGCCAATATTTGCTATTTGATATTGATAGATATTTGGTAGATATTTCTAGAGTTTATGAATAAAATGATTCCAAGGGATTAGATATAGCAGAACTACAAACAGCAAATTACAACCTGAAAAGTACCAGAAATAGAAAGGCTATTCACACCAAGAATTTTTAAGTCAGCTAAACCAGCGAACCTTTTTAACCTTTTGTGGATTCTTCAAGCGTCGACATTTTCTGATATCCATTTCAGTTGTGTTCACACAGCCTGGCTAAGAGAGAAAAAAATCGCATAAATTACTAAGTATAAATTACTCTTCCAATTTAGCTCAAGTGACATCACCAGAACCACTCTTTATCTTTCTCATTACAGATAAGGCATGATGTTTTCCATTTTGTTGTAATAGGGGTTCCTCCATGGGGTTCTTATAGTAAATACAGTTGTCCTTACTACAAAGATGATGCAAAGTAGTGTAGTGTAAGTTTCTAAACTTGTTAATCACATGAACAGATTGCTTCAACCACTGACTTTGTTATTACTTATACCTAACCATCTGCAAAGAAGCCACTATTAGGATGGACAGTTATTTTTTCTTATTTCTTTTAGTTTTTAAGAAGGTTGAAATATTCTGCTCATTTTTAGTTCCATCTGATGAGGGAAATACAGGATTCCTTCTAACATGAAGTTAGGAATACAGTCAAACCTCATTATTTACAGATTTCCTACTGGTGAATCCACCAGCTTGCTAAAGCTTATTTGTAATGTTGAAATCAATATTGGCAGCAACTTAATAGCTGTTTGCAGATGTGCATAGGTTACCAACAATTTTGGATTGTCCAGGTGCACATGCCCAGCTGAGGCTGAACAAGCTGACATGCTACCTTCTTGTCTCAGGTCTCATACTGTAAGTCAGTTTATGTAGGACTTGTATAGTACCCAGTTTTCTGCATTTTTGTCCTGTGTGTTGGTAATGCACTGCTTATGATGGCCCTCAAGCAGAATGCTGAAGTGATGTTTAGTGTTCCTAAGAGCAAGAAGGCTGTGATGTGTCCTAAGGAGGAAAATATATGGTTTGATAAACTTCACTGAGGCATGAGTTATAGTGTTGTTGGCTGTGAGTTCAATGTCAATGATCAACAGCATATATTAAATAAGATGTCTTTCTATAAAAGGTGTCTTTGTATAAAAATATACATTAAACAAAGTTCTATATGGATCGATTGATAAAGATGTGTGGCCAAAGCATCACAGGAACCCAGTCCTTCATTTCCCATAGGAGTAATGCTTCAATGACTATGGAAAGTCAGTGCTCTCAAAGACTATAGAATACAACTACTGGGAATAATGAGAACTAACAGTATTCAAAAGAGAATATTTTAAGATTTAGAGTTGATTAGCAGTGGAAACAGAAAGTGTTCCTTTGGGGAGAATGTGAAATTTTGGCACCTAATGTTCCTGTGGTGGGATTACCATTGCTTACCTATTTCTATTTTCATGGGTGGATACTTTCTCAAAGGCAAAACTGACACACATACTCCAGAAACTCTACTGAGATTCTATGAATAAATGGCAAAACCAATTTTGCAAAGCCTCACAGTTTTCTTAAAAATAACATTCTTGATCACTAAAGAGTTTTTTCTTTGAAGAGAAGAATAAAGGAAAATTAAAATAATAGAAAACTCTCCAGAGAATCAAGCAGAGCTTCCTCACCACTGGCCTGTGGACATCCCAAAAGGCCCGTTCTTGACTATCCAAAATTTTCCTTTCTGTCTTGTCCTTTTTTCGATCAATTCTGAAAAAGGAAAGAGATGAAATAAGATGTTTCGATTGTCTTTCCCTCTGGCCCTCGCCCCAGCTGTCTGCTCCCATTTTCTAGGAGCCACACTGCACAGAAGAGTTTTGACCCCTGTGTGGTCCCTGGTTTCTGCAGGTGTCCACTTCCCTGTAGGTGGCCTCAGACTTTGCAAACTTGGTAAGAACTTGGTGTAGGCCAGAGTACAGACAGAGTACAGGTGTGCAGTGAACATGGTGGGCACAGGAAAGAACAAGAATGAAACTGCCCAGGGGAAGTTGGAAGATCAGGATTATTGAGAACCCAGTTAACCCACTGACAAGCCCCTCCCTGCAGTGACCTCTTATTGCACATACAGACCGGTAAGAGAGATAATAACCACCTGCTTGTCAGTTTTTTATCTAAATTTGAAAGTCAGCTTTACATTCAGTTCAGTAGAAATGTCTTTAAAATGCTGCAATTATGTGTTCTAAAAGTCACTTAAGCCATCTGGCTTACTAAAGGCAGAGTAATGGTCCTAGCATGTGTCAAGATCAAGAAGGCAAACATCCCCAGCCTCTGCCAGAGGAGGCACAAATGCAAGAGGGAAATTACAGGTGACAAAGACAGCTTCTTAATGTTCCTATCAGCAACCAAGATAAGAGTTTCTTTCTTTTTATTTTTAAAGACTGTATTACTTCATATTACCTAAGTAAAAAGCAACTTAGATTAATTGCGGTGTAACTTCTCCTTCTCAGCTCTCTGGGGAACACTACGGCTTACTGTACTGAACTAAACCCATAATCATCCCCTGATTTGTGTGACAATTACTATGTACTTAAATGGCCCACCCTTATAATGTAATCACAGAGTTAATCATAAAAACTAATGGAGAAATACCATACATGTACAAAGTGACAATTTCCTTTCTCTTTATAATATGATGCTATTTGATTTTTTAAGGACAAGTTAGTGCTTCTCTTTGCTTTCCAGTGACTTCTAAGTACACTGATAGCTTTCTCGCTTAGTCCATCCAAATCCCAGCCTTTTCCTATCTGCTTTCTCTCCTTCCAGATTCTACTTCCTCTGATGCCTCCTGCTGCAGCTCAGCACCCAGGGCCTGGTGCCACATCCTTGGGGGAGTTCTAGGAGGACCAGGGTGATCAGCAGGTGGCTGGTGGGGGTAGAGAAAGGCAGAGGCTGTACAGGGAGGGTGGCAGTAATGAAATCATGAACAACACTGGACAGATGAGCTCAGATCATTTCTGATGGGCATTATAGGTATAATTCATCCTCACACACGGAGCCTGAGTCCTGGCTCTAAGTGTTACGTGGTGACACTCTAAGTGTGACAGAGCTCATCTGAAGCACTATATGAGGCTACTCATGTACAAGGTGCCCAGAGCCTAGGAACTTGTATTTTTCCAGATTGGCATCTCTTTCTCACCTTTCCTCTGGCCCACTTTTCCTATTAACATTAATGATTAAATAAATATGAGCATTGGGAAGAACAAGGTGATCTCGACCAGAGCAATTCCATGTCCCAGAATTAAGTGGATCTGATTGACGATCATTGATTATGGCCTGGAGAACATTTGTTCTCTACTCCTTGTGTTTCTTAGAGAGGAAGAAATTTCCATTATATATTCTAGAAGGAAAAATTCTTTCAATTTTTTCCCTCCTTTATTGCTTATACTTTGGAGAGGAAAAATGACTAAACTTATTGGTGCATTTGAAGGGAGAAATAGAGAAAGTTCAGGCTAGTCCTTTGGGGTCTGTCTAGGGTATCCATTTTCTATATTCAGTAAACTTAAAGAGATCAGCTCTGCCCTGGAAAAGGTCTACAGATACATATCTGCCCTGGAAGAACAAGTTTAATTTGGATTTTGGCCACAGATCCAAACCATAACCTAGATTTCAATGAATGAATTTTAAATGTCTGACTTCTGTGTTTTATTTTTCAATTGGTTCTAAACTTCTAAACTCCAATGGCCTTGTCCTCCTTAAAACACCTACATATTCTTTTATGAGGATGAAATATTTAGCCCTAAAGGCAACCTGGGTCTGATGTTTTCCACTCACTTAGCAGGAAGAATAATTGGAAATCTCTTGAACAGAGAGGTACACCTTCCTACAAGCAGAATGCTACATTTGACTGCTACATGATTCCTCTTGACTGCTAAAGTACATGCTTTTGATTATTTTAGAGTAACATTAGTGTCAAGGATAAAACTTACACACACTAATGTTACTTTGTGCCTGTTTGATTAGAGTCACTAGCGCCAACTAGAAGCCTCAGTCTGGCAATCCCACCCTCACTCCATCTCCAAATTCCAGAGATGATTCCTCTCTGCAAGGGTCTCTGCCAAGTTCACCTACTTGACTTGTGCTTCTGCTTGCATAAAGATGAATTCCCACTTTCTTGCAAAGGCCCTCTGGAGTCTTGCTAAGTTTTCCTAGTGAGAAATGAAAAACCAACAAGAAGGGATTAATCATTGTAAGTTAATACTTCAACACCTATGCTTATTACAAGGCAGCCATCCATTTTGTTTACTCCAAACAAACTAGCAAGGCCTCATATTAAATTCACTGGACATGAATCCAATTTGAATCTGCACCAGACCCTGCTGTACAGAGCTGAACTATTAATACTCATTTATACATCCATTAAATTGGAGCCTCTGCCATTCACTTCTCTTCCTGTGTTTTACGAGAACATAACTCACACAGCACTTGTTATAAAGGCTTGAAAACAATGGTTTGTAGCTCCTGGGGAAGGCACGGTGAGGTTTTCAGGACCTATTGGCCATCTCAAAAGCAAAACTAAGGTTGGATCTTTGCAGGATGTGTGTTCCAGCAGGCAGCTGAGAAAGTTGTAGGAAATGTGAACCAAGAGGACTTGGCATCAGTGTGTTTTTTAAAGGCAGCATTCAAAAGCAGACCAAAGGGAGTGTCTATTTTATGATGTTTATGCAGGTAAAACTCAACTGGATGTGGTAATGTGCACCTGTAATCCCAGCACGTGGGAGTCTAAGGCAGGTGAATTGCTGTGAGTTTGAGTCCCACCTGGGTTACATGGCAAGATCCTGTCTCAATGCAAAACTAAACAACACACACAAAAGAAAAGAGAGAGAGTGAGTGAGAGAGAGAGAGAGAGAGAGAGATCCCCAGAAAACAGGAAGAAAGAAAAGTAATTGAGGGTTACTTTTAGAGGAAAAGAGGAGTATTTTTCTAAGTCAACAGACTTATCTAATGGAACATTAGGACAGTGAGGAGGAGAGTTTGACAGTCCCATAATGATCCTCCTAATTCTGATTAATGCAAGGCCAGGGCCTACATTATGCTATGTATTTTCATAGAGCGCATGCCAACACTAATTGATTACCCTCATTAGCGGATTATTAATATGAAAGGAGCTTCAGTTGAAGAGCACTGCACATGAACTCACAGCTATTACCAAAGCTTGGCGTGCAAATGCTTTTAAGAACTGTCCCTCTGACTCTCTTTCCTAGGGAGCCAGTTGCTAATGGCTAATGTCAATCAATGGGGAGAGCAGTTCTATGAACTATGCTAGTCACAACACAGAATACTAGGCAGCCACTAAAAATGCTAATACACTGTTGAAATGGAAATATTCCCTGGATACTACAATGAAAGATTAGGGAAAGATGCAGCAGACCCAATAATGTTTCTGATATGATCTTCTGTAAGGAAAAATACGTGTTTGGAAAAGCTTAAGGGGAGAAACATAGGTTATTGCCTCTTCTCTTTTGGTGGTTTAAAGTTTTATTTTCTACAAAGAGAATATGTAACCAGAAAAATTTTATACAATTGCTTTAAATTTGAACGTATTTTAGACAAAAAATGCCCTTTCAGTTTCTCACCATTTGTATGCAGAACTTCAACCTGAGAAAACATCTTAATGCCATATTATTCACAAATACCAGAGCAGAAGATTACAGGGTAAGATAAGACAAAACAGAATAAAATATTTCAGGAGTTGATACTGCCTTATTTCTATGTAGGATGTTTTCTAAAATATGGGAATATGAGGAAAAGCACAAGAAAAACAAGGCCATGGTAGTCTGAGTCTTTTCTGAAGGTCATGTTGAAGAAGTGATGTGGTCATGTACAAGTTCTTTGCCCGAGGTAAGGAAAAGAGCTAAATAACAGTCCTTGGAAAGAAGGATGATGTGACTGCTGGAGCATCAGGGTAGGACCAAGCTCCCAGGGTGTTCAGAGTCATAAGATCATTATGGCATGTTTGCTTGGGAAGATCACAACGTTCTCTCACATGATCTGATATGTAGGCTTTAGCCAGGTTATGGGGCTCTGGTCAGTCTCCTGTATTTCATCTTTCTGTATTCTTTCCTCTTCCTTACAGATCTGTGATACTAGCAGGATCAAAGACAGTATGGAGCCATGCCCAGAGCATGCTCTGCATTGATGCACACATTTGCCTTTGGGCAGTGGGGAGGGAATCATGATCTAATTGGCTAGGTCATTGGAGCACATGGACCCAAGAAAGGCAGGACCTGCAAGTGGGCACCATGTATTTCTTCTAGACAACTGAGGTGGTAAAATTGGAAGGTGGGTGGGCTTCCCAAAGGTAAATTCTCTACCACTCCTAATATGAATTCTCTGCTACCTCTTCCCACAGCTTCTGGCTCTTCAATCATTTCCTGGGTCAGGAACACCTCCTCTGGAGGGCATATGGGGCATATGGGGAGAGGGAAGCAGAAGGCACATGAAAGTTCAGAAAATTGTCCTGGATTCAGAGTCTAGAGTGCTGGCTGTTACACCATTAGACAATTTTACTGATTCTCTATGACCTACATAAATTCATTTTGAAAGCAATATTCTGCCAGCCAAAAGTTAAAAATATATTTAGAATTATCAATGACTCTTCGGCTTCTCTGTGTTTTTGTTTCAAATGAAAATGAATATGAGAGTGATAGTGGGACCTCTCATTCTTGCAAGGAATCGTCACATCTTAGGAATATGGAAGAAGAAAGTAAGATCACAGGGAAAGGAGATACTCTTGTGACATACACCTTGTCTCATTTTCTGTATTGAATTTTGTTCATACAGTCTACCTGTTGTACCAAGCACATAGGAGTGGGTATAAAGGATGATAAAAATATACCATAAATGTTTAAATTTTAAAAATTTGTTACAGTGAAAGATATATTGCCATTAATCCCTCTCAAACTCTCAATCGGTTTGAACACATTTATCCCATAATTTCTGAAGCAGTTCTGGAAGTCTTCTTTTCCGAATGTCTTTAGTAGGCATGACCACAAAAAAAGTTACAATGAATACTGTTGCCAAGTGCCATCCAACAGAAAGGCATTGAAACCATTACAGTGTGTCTTCATCCATCTTATTCACCAGATTTGGTGCTGTGCAATTTCTGGATCTTGCACAAAGTCAAAAATGATGATGAAAGGTAAACATTTTGAAGTGATTCAGGACATTAAGGCAGGTATAATAGCACCACTAAAGATGCTCATGATAAAGGATTTTCAAAGCTGCTTCAGCAAGTGACAAGAACAATGAGATGACTGTGTTTGAAGTGAGGGGCAGTATTTTGAGAGAGATTAATGGTAAAGGGTCTTCTATGGTAACAATTTTTAAAATTTAAATATTTGCCATTGTTTTCCATCATGTCTTATAGAAGGATGCAGCTTTAATTTTGAACATTATATAGTGAATGTCTCTTTTCCTTTTGGAACAGTTCTGTGAATTCTAACACAGGTGTAGGTCTGTGTAACCACAACAGTCAGGATACAGACTGGGTCCATCTCCTTCCCCAATCCTTTGTACTATCCCTTTATAGTCACATCCTATCGTACCCACAACCATAGCCATTGATTTGTCTTTCCTCATGATAGTTTTATCTTCATAACAGTGTCAGAAATGGAATGGTTGGTTTGACACTCGCTTCTTTCATTCAACATAATGTCTCAGATACTCATGCAAATGTTTGCATTTATCAATGATTCATTCTTTTTACTTGGAATAGTATTCCATCACATAGGCGCACCTTACTTAGTTTAGCTGTTCACATGTTAAGGTGCATTTAGACTGTTTTCAGTTTTTAGTTATCATGTTCGAGGCTGCTATGGACATTAGTGTTCAGGTTTTTGTGTGAATATAAATTTTTATTTCTCTAGGATATGTCTGGAGACGTGGAACCACTTGGTTATATGGTAAGTACATGTTTAACTTTATAAGAAACTGTCAACCCTTTATTCAAACTGGCTGTCCTATTTTCCCCTCACACCAGCAATGTAGAGGAGTTACAGTTGTTCCACATGCTCACCAACTCTTGATTTATCAGTCAAATTTTAATTCTAGCCACTCTAATAAGTGTATAATGATGGCTCACTGTGCATTTAACCTGCATTTCTTAAAAGGCTAGTAGCTGTAAACATCTTTCCATGCCAGTATCTGTCATCTTTTTGTTCCCTTTGGTTGAAATGTGTTGTTTAAGTCCTTTGCCTGTTTTTATTCTTTAAATTTTTTAGTATACATTTGCAGTGACACTGAGTTTTTATCGTTGAGTTTTGAGGGTTATTTATGTAAAAATACAATTTTACTGTGATGGTAAAAGGAACTGAAACTAAAGCAGGGGAGGAAGAAGAGACTCTTTCACTGTCTGGAGGGGGACAGAAGGAAAAGTACAAGCTGAAACTGAGCTGCAGAGATGACATTACTATTTTTCCACAATGAGCCTGAAAAATAATCATACTTACTGCTTCATAATCTGCCAACTCCAGTCTTGCTTTATTCTGCATTGTCCTCTTGCAGAGATAGATGGCTGAGGGAAGAAGGGAAATTATAAGCTGTAGAAAACCAGCAACACAGAGGAGTCATAACCCCATCCATCCATGAACCCATCTGCCCACTCATCTAGCCGGCCAACCCTTACCATGTGCCCAGTCTGACCTGTGAAGAATATATATTCTAAGTGGAATTCATGACATCTGACCTCAAGGAAACTTTCTGTAGGTCAGGGTCAAATAAGAAACTTATCTGCCAATCTTGAAAGTTCTTTTTCCTCTTCCCTCTGCTATACCCCAAACATTATCCACTCCTAGTGATCTTTCCCAAATATGACCATAATACTCCTGTGCCTAAAAGCCCTGCACTGTTTCCTAATTGCCTTGTCAGTCTCTTTCTCCTGTCCCCATCAGACAGTATGAGGCTATCAAACTTTCAGTTTCCTTCCTCTATATATGTGTTCTTTGCATGGAAAATCTCTCTCCTCTATCTGGTGACCTCCTACTAATCTCTGAAGGCCCAGTTCAATATTCTTGACAGCATCAAGTTTTGCTCAACCATATAAATGAACGCCTTTGCCTTGAATTTGCATGCTTATTAGCCTGTTCCTTGCTCTAGGCTGTAGACTCCTTAGGAACAGAGGCTATTCAGCTACAATGTTGGACTTAGCACCTGGGCCTGTCATGTCAGGTGTACGGAAATAACAGCGGAGAAGGAAGATAATTTAGGGCCCTCAGCTCAGGCTGAGACAGGCTTTTAGACCTTCAGTGACCAGGGCATTCTTCCTCAAACATGGCCTTTGTCACCTTCTCTCCCTACCTCTGTTTCTTCAGAGACTTCCTCCTCCTCCAGTGTCAAGTGGAATTATCTCATGGAAACGGTAAATGAATGGTATGAATGAGCAGTAGAACATGCGAGAAAGAAAGCCAAGGAGGACCTGTGATTGTCTAGTTGTTTGACGTCTAGTTGTTTGACAGCTAGTTGTTTGACTAAGAGATGTCTGACCAATCCCTTGCTGAGCTAACTAGCTTCCGAGAGTTGCTCTACTAATGTATGGATGGCAGTGCATGATCCTGTAGAAGTTTGTAGCTAGCAGCCTTCTCTCTGTTATGCCCAGGATTCTGCTTTTTGCAGTCTGACTGTATGCTGATAAGGATGTGAGGTAGGTGTTCCTGAATTTGCTTATGGTAGGTACACTTTCTCCTTTAATAATGCAAGGCCATCAATTATTACATGTACACATAGTCTCAGACCTTTGATTGGACTTAATGATATGAAAAACATATGCATCCAGTAAAAACTATACTTTGAATTTCAAATTTTGATCTTTTCCTTTTCTAGGCTAGTGATATGGAGTATGACACTCTCTATGAAGCTGGTCAGCACAGCAAGTCGTGGCTCACAACCAGCCACATGATTACAACAGGAAAAACCTGTACTCTTAACAGTGTGCTGTGTTGCTTAGTGAGGATGTTTGGTAGGTTAGATGTGTGTAATGATTGTTTGACTTAACATATTTTCATTTTAAGTTGGGTTAATTAGGACATAACCTCACCACAATGAAATTAATGTGATAGTAGTGTTATTTCTATGAAGGTTCAATGGAATAGTTTGGAACAATTTAATTGATAAGGGAGAGTTGATGAATTTGGCACAGGTGAGATAGTTGGCAAAAATCATGAAAATTTAGGAGAAACCAACATTCAAATGGCTTTGAAAGTGTTTTTAAATTATCGAGGCACTCTAAAAACATCAAAAACTGGGCGGTTTATTATAAATGTATTTTGTTTAAGAAAGAAGCTTAAAAATTCTTGGGATCTATGGTCAAATAGGAGTCCTCGGTCCTACCTCAAATACTGTCTTATGTATGTTCTTTTGCATATTTTACACTCATGTCATGTGCATAAGGCATGCACATTTCATTTTAAAAACTATTTTTCTATTTATCACCTTTTCTACTGATATACGCAGCTACAGTTGCATCACATCTGATAAAGGGCTATCTGATCTATTACAAAGTTATCTCATTCATACCCTTGGACTATAAGCAGCCTATAAAACTAGGGGCAAGTGGCAGCAGGAAAGTTGGCATGTCACTCACCCCACCAGCCATGGTCTCATTTCCTGTGAGCAGTGCAGGTCCCAGGAAGGAGCAGTTGGTTTGACAAAGCTGACTGGGTTGGACAGTATTTTCTATTGGCCAAATGTGAAGCTCATTTTAAAGGCTCACCTAGATTTGGACTATGGGTTTTACATAGGCAGAATCATCCCAGGAAATTTCCAATGCATCTGGGTGAAAACCGGCCAGCCAGGTTGGGAAGAGAAGAACTACACAAGGAAAGCAAAGCTGATGCCAATCCTGATGCTCATGAGGTCTTTATCACAAGCTTCTAACCTGTTTCCCTTGGTGATGTCACATGTGGGAAGTCTGTTTGTCACATAATGGAGCTAGGGTGCCGCTGTCCTCAATACAGATCTCCCCAGGTAACAAAATATTGATCACCATCAACACAGTGATGGCAATGTCAACTGCTGGCCATGTAGCAAGAGCAATCACTATGCTGGGGACAGTAACACCAACCACCATAACTACAGTAGTAACATCAACCACCACCACAATATTAATATAGCCACTATCCTAGGAAGAATAATGCCAACCACCACCACACTAAAGACATCAGTCACCACTACAGTGGCAATAGCAACCATCATCTTATTAATGATAACACCATCCACTAATAGTGGCAACATCACCCACCACTACAGTAATAATTAGCAATCTCCATCTTGATAACAATACCAATCACTGCTGCCAGAGTATTAGTAGCAATCCTACCCTAGCAACAAAAATATCAACTATCACCATCACAGTAGTGATAATATCAACCATCACCACTGTGTAGACTCCTTACTATGTCATGCACAAGCCTTAAAAGCATTTTTTTAAATCCTAACAAAACTGCAGTAAAAGACAAGTAATGTTCTCACTGTGATTTTAGTATGAGGTCTCTGAGGCACAGATATGTAAGGTAATGTTATAGATTGGATCTTAAATGTTTCCCAAAAGCTCATGTGTTGAAGGCTTGCTACCTAAGACAGCAGTGTTCAAGTATGAGGCCTCTGGGAGGTGACTGGGTCATGAGGGCTGTGACCTTATGAATGAATTAATCCATTTATGAATTCACAGCTTAACAGAGGTATTGGGAGCTGGTGGAAAATCTAGGTGGGCCTTAGAGGAAACAGATCACTGGAGCTGTGCCCTTGTTTTCAAGGCTGGGAACGTATCTTGTCCCCAGTGCCTTTTTCTCTCTATTTCTGCTTCCCAGTTGCCAAGAGGTAAGTGACTTTGCTCTATCACATGGTCCCTGTCATGATGTTTTGCCTCACCACAAGCCCAGAAATAGTGAAGCCAGAAAACCATGCACTGAACCTCTGAAACTGTGAGCTGAAAGAAATATTTCTTCTCTTAAACTGAGTTTCTCAGGTATTTTTGTCACAGCAGTAGAAAGCTAACACAGGTAACTCACTGATATCCCACGGGTTAGGCAGCTCGTTGCTTTTGGGATCCGCAATGCTGAGTGCTCTCCTGGTAAATACCGATTTGCTCACTAAACTGCTTTGGAAATACTGGCAAATGCTTTTGTATCCTGAACCTTGATTTCCTCACCCAATTTGCCAAGAATTCAAAATAATTTTGCTCTCATGAGAGCCTAAAACAAGCAGTCATTTTTATCCCTGTTTATCTACCCACCAAAAATTATGAAAAGGAGAAAATCTATAGAGAAAGGGAAATAATTCCCTTTTGTATGCTGTGTGAGATGGAGTAAACAGATTTTAACCTTGGGCCTTATCAGTCTCACTGTCCTCCCACTCTCTCCATGGCCCGGAAAAATACTGGATTTCATATTCACAAGGGTGCTTGCGATTGCTGCAAGGAAGCAAGCTGTAATTACTCACTTGCCACTTGGGCCACTGTGCGCCGTCTTCTGGACCCTGAATCACTTATTTTTATGGATGGCCAAATGCAGCTCCTGCTCTGAGCTAGAGGCTTGCTGCTCACCACATCATTTGCAGTGTAGCCATTTCTGAGAGCCCCAAGTGGTGCCTGTGGGGACACCCTGCTTTGTGTGTGAGTCCCTGCTTTCACGATCTGAGTCTCTGCACTGAGTGCAGTGACCACATGCCTTCCATCGACTGCCACCAGTGGCTGTTCTCCCCTCCAGCAACGCCTGCTCAGAGCTGGTGGCTTTTCCCACAAGTCTCTGGTAGGGCCTCTCCTGAGCACCAGCCACCACGTAACTCTCTCTCACTCCTGGTAATTGCACCAGGCTCCCTGTTGTAAGCAAGCCTACAATAAAACAAAACAAAATGGCCAAAAAACTAGAAAAAGTCTTCAGACTCCTCAAATGCCCAGTCCCAAGGAGGGCCATGGACTAAACTGCCACAGCAGCTACCACGATGCCATGCAAAGGGGCAGGAGCTGCTGCAGCCTTCAGGCACATTGTGCACAGACGACGGGAGGGCGTGGGTGTTGGAGCCACTTGGATCTGAGCTCAAATTCCACTGCCTCCAGTGAGTGTCTGTTAAACACCTTCCATCAAGAACCAGAACTATCTGAAAAAATTTATTCGGCACCAACTATGTCTCAGGCATGCGCCATGTTCTGAAGGATACAAGAATGCATGAGATGGACCAGTTCCTGCCCTCGTGAGGTTAATAATCGAATGGGGCTTCAGACCCTTTCTGGGCCCCAAGTTCTTTACCATTAGCATAAGGGTAGTCAAATTTTCTTCTGGGTGTTGGCAGAGAAATATCAAATAGCCCCTACTGAGAGTAGGGTTCCTGGCTTGTAGGTTTAACTCCTTGCTTATCCAGCTGTCATTATATTCCATTTTTAATGTTTTTGGTCCAAGGTGACATCTGTATATCTCTTTTTTGGTCTCTCTCCCTTTTACAATAATGCCCAACCATCAAGATCACCAACGAGCTCTTAGTAGATTTTAATGTTTGTGAGACTAGAAGGGACAGGGGAAGTGACTCCTGGATCCAGCCTTCCCTGAAACCCTGTCCCAGAAACGAACAACCCAAAGTCACTATTCCTTAGTGTTGCCATGGGATGCTAGTCAACCATGGCCCCACAGACTGAACATGTTGATCATCCTGGATAAAACTGTTCTTCCCTTTGCCCTTTTTCTTTCAATGGCTGCAGCCTTCTGTATGCTCTGCTTTCCGTCATTATGTAGAATGGAGAATTTATGGATAATGTCAGACAGGGCAGCTAAGACCTCTCCTCCTGTGCACCCTGGTCTCCTCACTCCGAGCATTTGTCCTCTGCACTCCCAGAGCAGTGCAAAGCGTAGGTTGTGGCTCCAGCTCTCACCGTAGTCAGTATTTTCAGGTTCCCAACAGTTGGAAGGCCAGAAGTAAGGAGCCTGCAAAAATCACACGGTTATAGGATGCAGAGGTGCCTGCCCCCACTTCTTATCCCAGCAAAGCCCTCCTTTATGTCAAGTACTCTCTCATCTCTTTCTGCCTGATACTGTATCAACTGTCTCCTGGTTTTGTTTTGCATGTGTGGTGTTGGGGAGGAAACTGAGGGCCTGAAAACGTTAGGGAAGCATGCTACCTCTGAGCTACACCTCTAGCACTTTTTATTTTGAGACAGTGTCTTGCTAAGTAGGCCAGGCTGAGCTCAAACTTGCCATCCTCCTGCTTTACCCTCCTAGCTAGGATCACAGTTACGTGCCACCACATTCAGGCTTTCTTGTTTTATATTTTTATTTTTTTTATTTTTAACAACGCAGCTGAAGCTGTGTTGATACGTAAAATCCAAAGTAAACAAAATAAATGTAAAATAAAAAGTATATTGAAATGCGGGGCCTGTAACTCAGGGTGAAGGCCCTGGGTCTAATCTCCAGTCAAGATAGAGAGAGAGAGAGAGAGAGAGAGAGAGAGACAGATAGACAGACAGAGACATACACACAGAGGAAGAGACACAGAGGCAGAGAGACAGATTCACAAACAGGAAGAGAGACATAAAGATACAGACAGACAAACAGATACATACACAGAGGATGACAAAGGAGGAGGAGGAGAAGGGGAGAGACAGAGAGAGAGAGACAGAGAGAGAGAGACAGAGAGAGAGACAGAGAGAGAGAGACAGAGAGAGAGAGACAGAGAGAGAGACAGAGAGAGAGACAGAGAGAGAGACAGAGAGAGAGATTTAATCCTGAAATAAGAAGAGTCTACGGTAGACATCAGGTGCGCAGTTTCCTGGATACACAGCCTGCATCCTTTCACTTCCTCTTAAGTACCCTGCTCCTAAACCTTTGGTTCCACCTTGAAACAACCCCTACCCTCTTCCCCAAGCCCTTGAGGGCAGGACCTGAGAGAAGGAGTACAAAGCGGGTAGCGAGGATGATCAGGTAGTATGTGGAATCTTTACCCCGGAAGGCAACAGAGGTAGTAAAAGTGAAGGATGGAGCTGTCAGGCCCTGTAGCCTCACACTGAGGCTTCCTGCTCCATTTACTAAATGCCACATTAGTCTCTGAACACCTCAACTTTCCCATCTACAAATTGGGTGACATTTACCTCTTTAGAGGTAGAACAAACTTTTACAAGTTTTGTCACAATACATAAAGAAATATGTACAGTGTCCACTAGGGCCTGAATGTTAGTCTCCTCAGCCCCGAGTGTACATGGTGAAATCCTGCCACTCCCCAAGGCAACGGCATTGGACGTGGTCTTTAGGAGGTGATTAGACCATGAGGGTGGAGTCCTCATGAACGACATTACTGCTGTTATAAAAGAGGCCTAAAAGAGACTCTGCCCTTTGCCCCTAGACTCCCTTAGTGTGAGACACTAAAAGCGTCATACGTGTGACAGAGAAAACAAAAGACACTAAACTCGCTGGAGTTTTGGTCTTCAACTCAGCAGCCTCCAGAAGCAGGAGTAATAAATTCTGGCATTTATAAGCTACCTAGTTTATGGCATTCTGTTATAGCAGCCCCAAAAATGGTGCTCCTTAAATCATAGGCACTCAATTAGGGCTTTTTGCTATCGTTTAAGTGGGTCAAGAAAGATCCCAGACACAAGTTCTCTGTTTTCCCAGTGCTGGCAGAAGGTTGCTCCCCACAATACCTTTTGTTTAGGTGTAGGGTTAGGTATTAGGTGGTCCTGATCTGAGGCAGAAGATGATGACAGCAAAGGCCTACCTGGAACCGATAAAAGGTACCATCGTCCTTCATGGTGAGCACGTGGTCTGAGATGGGAAAGATGTAGCCCTGGGCAGCTATCAGGCTTCCCAAGTGTATTGCTTCAACTGTGGTGAGAGAAGGAATCCGAAAACAGGTTATTTAGTTTAAATAAGAGCAAAAAGGTAGCCAGATGTCAAGTGTCATCATGCCTAAATGACAGTGTGGATGACATGATTGCTGGTGACAGGAGTGGAGAGGAGAGATGCCCACAGTTGGGAAGGGCCATCATGTATATGGTGTTTCTCTGGATCCCAGCTCAGTGAGTCTGACAATTCTTAACCTCCCATGATCCATGACCTTCCAGAAGCAAGTCAAGTCTAGCTCATGGTTAAGAGCAGGAGCTCTGGCATAGATAAACTTATATTTAATGAAGTGAGATATTTCACATAAAGCACTTAGCAGTGTCTGGACAGCGCAAATACTCAGTAAGTGCTGGCAGCCTTGATTCATAGTTTCATTTCCATCATGCTGTGTCATCGTGTGCTGGGAGAACAAGGCCTCCTCACTGCCCATGCAGACGTGGACCCACTCTGTACCTCCCTAACACAGTGGTCCCATGGGTGACCAGAAGAACGTTGCCCTCCCTGATATGCATAGGGCAAAATATCACTTTTTCAGGAACTTAGAAGGACAGTGGAGTGGGTAGTGACACAGGGAGCCCTACTTAATAGGAATATGCTTATTATTGACACAGTGAACCGGTTGCTTTGCTACGTTAGCATCATCCATAAATAGATTCACATAACAGTTAACAATTTATATTTGTCTTAAGTGGAGCCAATATGAGAAAAAAATGCACCTACCACATAAAAGAAACTTTCAGAAATTTCATAATATTTTTATTAGTTAAAAACAAATTTTTTTGGACATGGAATTGACATGCACAAGGAGTCTTTAACAGTTACTAATTTTAAAGGCTCAGAATTTTTAAAGGAGATTCGCTTTGGCTTTACTTGTAAACTTTTCAAGAGGCTGACTATAACACAAACGTTTGACTTGTTAAGAATCACTGATTCCCTTAATGAAAGAAATGTAGATGTATATTTGTACTCATGGAATTAAGGTGCATGGACTTTTACTTTACTTGCTTCTTAATGACCAGTTTCTTTTAAAATTCTGCACATTTGTCTCTTAATATGTTTGCAGAACCCCTATGGACACCAAAATCTGCGAATGCTAGAGTCTTCTTTTAAAGTGGTATAGTATTTGTATACAACCTGCATATATCCTCCCACATTCTTTAAATCATCTATAGATTCCTTATAATGCCTAGTATAAGGTGAGTATTATGTGAATAATTCTCACAGTGCTATCTAGGGAAAGACTAGAAAAAGTCTGTATATGTTCACTACAGACGCAGTTTTTTTCCTGCATGTTTTCAATGCAGGTTTGGAAGAACCTGCAGATGCAGACCAATGATATAGAGGGCTGATTGCATGCTTCAAGAATCATGTGTCCAGCAAGAGAAGATTGCTATCATCTGCAGCTGCTCCTTTCTCAAAGATGGAAGGACAAGATCTAGTAAGCAATGGCTTTCATATCACCAACATGGGAGCTAAAACTCTACAGCAAAAATGTTTTTATTTAGAAATCTGGCAGCAGGAAAGAGAGAATGGAGGAAGGGGAAGATATCAAAAGTGCCTGTCTTCTCAGAAACTTGATTTGCCTCATCTCTGCTGGGGAAATGCTCTTATCTCCTTTCATTCAGCTACTTCTCAGAACTCCAAGGTGGACCCCAGATCTTGATGATCTCCCAAGGGCATCAGAGTTTAGTAGACCTGACATTCATTCACAGCCCTTCATTGAAGTTTCTTTTATTTTTTTAATTTTTATTTTTATTAGTGCATAATGGTTATATAGGCCAGAGAATTCTCACCTAGTGTTAGCAGGGCTAGAGGTGATGATGATGATAATAAATATAATGATTTTTGGAGAGGAGAATAAAGCAGTACTCTTTGAGGAATGGAATTCCTTAGTTTAGCATCATAATCAAAAGAAACATTGAGTTCAAATAAATGTAATTAAACTGACAGGTGGTTATCCAGTCTGGGTTTCACAAGTGGACAATCAGTAGTCCATTTGTATAAAGGAAACACAGAGAGGGAAAATGAACATTTACAGTGGTTTTTTTTTTTTTTTTTTTTTTTTTTTTTTGCTGGTTACCAGAGTAGCCACTAATCAAGGTTAAGGTCACTTCTACAAATGACCCACTTTTCTGGCACTTGGACTCTGAGCAACTGTATTTAATTGAAATATATATATATATATATATATATATATATATATATATTATACTGTTTCATAGTCAACAGCAGCTAAGAATGTCAAGGGTGTTAAAAATTCAAGGGTGGCTGAGCTAGCATACTGATCCCAGCAAGGAATCACAGCTGGAGATCACATACGTAGGATGGTACTTAAAATATATTCTTAGAAAGCGTGGTCATTGGAGCTATTAAACTTGGAGCAAATAAATCTAACTGCCCCCAGAATCTAGCAAGGACATCAGAGTGGATCCACATTAGATTAAAAGATAAATTTGACTTGCAGGTATCAAGGATATCCAGTTAAGCAAGATGAAGTAGAGTGTGATGAATTTGGAAACGTATTAACTAATGACACACGAAGCGGTTAGTGATATGTACCTAGAATTTTCATTTTTCTGGATACTTCCTCCTATTTCTTAATTTAATGTAAAAATTAAGATTTCTTGCTTATTTCCTGGTGGGAGGGTAAATTTTGAAACTGTCTTATTGGCTAGAATTTTGCTCTTGTTTTTCTGGTAGAGTTCTCCTACTTGAAATGCACAATTAGAGTGAAAAAGCCATCTCTCCTTCACTTCTTGCAGAAGCAGGAAACAGAAGGAGTCTTAGCAAATAATTAAACATCTTGATTGTGGACCAGGCAATCTAATTTTAAGAGCTGGCTCTAGAAGATTGTGCAGTGACAGTGCTACAACTTAACTTTAATTGCTGCGGCTAACAAGAGAATTCATCTCATCTCACACGCTATTGTATTGAGCTCGTTGGCATTCTGAATAGTTGCTCATTTCCTCCAACGGTGATTTAAATTTGAAGACAGATATTCAGTAGAAAATAAATTAATTTTATTTGTAAATAGAGCAATTCCACAACTTGGAATTCACATGGGTAAACTGGTTTCCTAGGACAGTTAGAGACACCGGCTTGGAAGTTAAAGGTTATGGGATATGTACTGATAGCAGAGGTGGTAAAGACAGGGTCAAATACCTGGGTCCTCGATCGAAAGGTTCTTCATAAGCCACTGCACAATGTCGGTACCTGCAATGACAAAGCAGTTTCAACTGAAGACCTCAGGGGTGTTTAATCCCATGGGCAGAAGAAACATTTGTACCTAAGAGAATCTTAATTTCAGTCAGCATACAACCTCTCTCCTACTAATTACCTTTGGCCTTAGTTTTGCCCTTGGATAACAGAAGAGCAAATTCAAACTGAGGCCTAATCACTCTGTGAAACCTGTCCTCCCATGAGACATCGGCATCCTTAATCCTGACGAGACGTGCCTGGGTCTCTTCAGGTGTTTCCTCACGTGACCTGACCTGAAGCTCATCATCATTTTGGTCACAGTCTCCTGTAAATGCTCCCATGTGTTTGCCTCCCTTTGAAAACATGGCACCTAGAACCCATGTTCTAACAGCAGTACAGTTAACATGGGAGTGGAAGAGTGCAGTTTTCTGGAAGGTTCTGAACACCTGGTCAGTCCCATTTCATCACCCAAAGATCTCACCTTATACCAGCACAGACCACTGAGGGTGGCTTTGTCACCTTGGGCAGAATATTGATGGAGAACAACCTGAAAGGGGTGACATTTTCAGATATCTGAGCCCTACTGTGAGTCGAAGGTTTCAGTGTGAGGGGATAGTCATTCTCCTGGGCTGCATTTCCAGGTAGGCAACCAGAAATCCAGCAGAGGGGTTTAAAGAATAGTGTCATCTTCTAGGTTCTAGGTTCCCTGTATTTCCAGACTTCACAGACAGGGCCTTAGTGTCCTTTGCATTCAGCTGCAAAAGCAGAACTGTTAGCATCTCCCCTCTCTCAATCCTGGTTGGCATCTGTGAGCTAATCCTTGGATCAAAAACACTTCCATTCATTCATATTCTTACACACACACACACACACACACACACACACACAGAGAGAGAGAGAGAGAGAGAGGGAGAGAGAGAGAGAGAGAGAGAGAGAGAGAGAGAGAGAGAGAGAGAGAGCTCCAGAGAATGAATGTGTGTTCATTTCCTCCAATTACACAAGTTCAACATTTGTCCTAGAATATGAAGAATAAAACAGAAATCAAATAAGAACTGGAATCCCAAGTTGGGGGGTTGAAGGTGGGGGAGAGACTTTAACCTATTTTTCCCTCAAAAGAAACATAGTTCGTTTTTGTGGGTTGCCTAGAGACTGTGAGGTTTCCAGCATCTCTCCAGCTCTCCCCAGGGCCAGCGGATTATCTTTCTGCTGAGCTCGCCCAACCATTATTTATCACCTGCCAAGATTGATTACTCACCCTGGGACAATGACAGCCCTTCCTTTCCCCTGTTAATTACTGCCATCATTAATATCTATGTCACTAATTAGTATTCATTCACATTGAAACTCCTTCCTGGCTATCATACCCGCTCCCCCTCCACCCCAACCCCCGTCTCCAGCACCATTGTCTGGCCTTCCACCCTCCCCTTTCCTTTATACACTCAGTCCCTGGCCTAATTGTTCGCTTGGCCTACCAGGCCTGAGTCTGCATTCACACAGCTAAAGATCACATTTAAGTACTTTTACTTTTTGTAAAGAAAGTGACAAAAGCCTCTTTCTTTTTCCTCCTATTACTGTGAGGATCACAGAACTGGGTTTTTGTCCCTGCTACAGCCACTGGCTCAGCAGGGGACTGGTGTGACTGTCCTCAGGCCCAGAGAGACCAAGCTGAAGCTCATGGCTGTCCTGGGTCATTTCTCGCAATCTACAGTGGTATCCATCCCACTGCCATCCCCTCCAAGCTGCGGGTACCATTTGGTGGATTTCAGCAAACCTAACAGATAATGTATAGGGACAGGAGAACATTCTCAAAGGGATGGGGTATTTCGCTCTTCCTTGGACAAACCCAGGAGTGACAAACCTCTGGGCCTGTGCTGAGCTCCAGGAAGAGGTACAGAAGGGAAATCTGTCCTTTAAATGACCTACAATTACCACAGTGTAGAATCAGACAAGAATAGTCCAAATCCCCAGGAGGGGAAAGCACCTTTGTATTTCCTTCTCCTTTTTATCCACTTCTTCCTACTCCCCACTAATCATTCTTTCCTCTTTGTTCTAAAAAGAATTTTTAGCAGTTTCTTTTCTTTTTAAAATTAACTTTTGCCCTTTGGTAGTGCTGGTGATTTCTGGATCACATCTAAGTTGATTTGCTTTGCTGAGGACTTAAAAGACAGTATGTAACACCGTAACACACCAAAGGCAGGAGGGCCATACTTTAGTCCCAAACACTTGTCTGAAAATTATCTTTTGAGGATAATTTGTTAACATTTATTTCAGGGATGTGCATAAGACACAGCAGAGAGCTGTGACTACCTCTTTCCTGCATGTATGTTTTACAGGTATAATTAAATATATATGTTTCTTTACTATGTGCAATTATGTCTATGCTTCTATATATGTTATAGATATGTATTTCAAGGGGCTGGGGATTTAGTTCAGTGGCATAAGTGCCTGCCTGGTAAGTGCAAGGTCATGAGTTCGATCCCTGATACCAACCAACAAACAAACAAACATTTATTTCAATCATATCTTTTATATATAATAATGTTTGTTGAACAGCTATTTGGGAACAGCCCAAAAGTTCTGAATTAAAAATTAAGGCCCAGGGCTGGGGTTTTAGCTCAGTGGCATAAGCGCCTGCCTTGCAAGCAGGCAGTCATGAGTTCATCCCCGGTACTGATAAAAAGGAAAAAGACAAAAAAAAAAATTAAGGCTCATTCATACAATAAATATTTATTGAAATTTATAATATTAACTGAAAAAGCATACTTAAGAAGACTATATATTTTAAAATGACATTATCACAACAGAAAAATGATCTATTCTATTAACTATGTATGCATAAATATATACTGAAATGATAACAGAAAACTCCAGAAGTATATTTAAATTGTTAACTTTAGGTAATCTTAGGCAGAGAAGAGCCATTAAATTAAGGGAAATTTCTATCTCTACATTTTGGTAGTATTCACAGTTCACAGAACATCATATGACATATTGCACTGAGAAAACCAGTTTTTGTTTTAAAGAGCAGAGAGGGAAGAAGAATTGGTTTTTGAGACCAAAGTGGAGAGGGTGCGGGAACTTTGAATGACCTCCCCGTCCTCAGGCCTGGGCATTCTCTGTTCCCCAGGGAGAGGGCAGAGACATGAGAGCAGGATTCTCCATGCATTTTCCTCAGGATGAAGCAGAGGCGATCCGGATCATGGGGTCTACCACAGGCCTTGAGCTGGTGGCTCTGTCTGCCCATCTGCTGTCCCCACAGCCTCGAAGACAACTTCTGTGAGCTCTAACAGGGCTGTTTACCCACACTACATTCCTGGACCATGAGCGACCATCTGCACCTCCTCCTTGTGTTTGGTCACTTACTTACTTGGCACAGAGGATTCTGTGATCTCCTCCTGGTGAGTTATCACACTGTATTAACCTTAGGTTAGGACAAACTAGATTAGAGTGAATTTAAGGAATTCTGTTTCTGGTTTGGAGAAGAACTTTATTATATAATTCTGGGTTTTGTCTTCAGGTATTTCAAGCTCTTCCAAAGACTTAGCATTTGACAGAGCTACTAATCAGAACCTGAGGAGACACAAATGTAAATCAGTCTCCCCCCTTTTCCCAAAGCATTAGTCTGAGCCCTAAACAATTTGATTATGGAGAGTTGATAAAGATCTGATTGCAATCATCTACAAATTTCAAGTAACTGAAAATCTGGAAGAGCATAGTACTGACAACTGAAGCAATTGCTAAGCTCATTATCAATCCTTATCATTGCCTTGCAGTTATATGTTTCTTCAGCCTAGCTTCTCCCATCAGTGGGCTCACTCCAGTCTCAGTAAGGTCACAACTCCATCCACCTGGATATGCCTCCAAGTGAGGACGGGAGCTTCCACTCGTCACATGGCTGTCATAAGTAGGTCAGTGCTTACAAAGAGAAAGTGACAATTCCTGAGTGCCTGTTGTGTACTGGACTAGAGGGGGGAGTTGACCTTAACATATACCATCCTGATAATGATTATAGAAAATATCATCATTACTCCATCCTCCAGCTGAAAGATCAGGCCCAGAGAGGACCAAGGGCATACACTAATACCTGTTAGAGTCAGGGTTGGGATTCAAGCATTCTCATGCCAAATATAATTTTCATCTGCCTCTTTCCATGCTGCCTCTCTTATCCCTCAATAACTTCCTAGCAACACACAACAAAAATATTGAGAAAGATGATAGGTTATATTCATTTTTTTCTGAAGTACATTAATTCAGTAGTAGTTACTACTATCACTAGCTATTGAACTAGTAATTTATTGAGCACTTTCTATATTCCAGGCTTCAGAGTAATCATATTAAAAAATTCTATGACATAAAAAGATCATTATTAGCTTCCTAGAGCAAATGAATATTCTAATGTTCTGATATTCTAAGTGGCCCCATTTGTAGGGTTTTAGACTTTCTTTTATGCCTTACTTTAAAAAATATTTAAGAGGTAACAAACAGCTAGCAGAAAAAGCTTAGCTTAAGGGAAATGTTACACTATGCTTCGGAGACTGGGCATAATGATGAGCTGGCAATAGGAGGGAACACTGGAGGGAGAAGTGATCTGATGAGAAGTTTAGTGTCACTTTTGAGTTTCAGTGGGTCTAAGGAAGCCTGGAAGAATTTTTTAATGTTCACTCATCAAACATAGGAAGCAAGAAATCACACGATTTGTCACTTATAAACCTGGGAAGGTCTTTAAGTCACTGCCCACCCTAATCTCTATTTCTTTCTGTTAGTTGGAGAAATTGCACATATTTACTGAAAAAATATAAGGTCACGCACACACCCGAAACCCTCATCACAAAGCCTGGCTTATGGTTTTGCTGAAACAGCCTGTTTATTCACAGGTCCTCTATCTGCTCTGTGCTTTCCTTTCCTCATGGGAAAAGAGGACAATGACAAAGTGACCTCCCACAGAGGCAGAGAGGATTAAATAAATCACTGTATAGCAAAGTTAGTGCAGGGTTGGCACATGATAAGCATTAACA